CCTGGCGCGGGGTGTAGGGCGGCGTCCATGTCTCTGCTGCCCCCGGCGCCTCCCCGACGCCCATGCCAGCACCCAAGGCCACTCCAGCGCCAAGGCGGGCGCTCACGTTGGCACTGACACCAAGGGCGATGGCAGATCCGACGGTGGACTCAAGACTGCGTCGAATATCGGCACCGACACCAAGGCCAACGGCGGATCCAATGCCAGATCCAACAGCAGATCCGAGATGAGGTCCAATATCGGCGCCAATGCCAAGGCCAACGATAGAGCCGATGCCAGATCCAACACTGGACTCGAGACCGGGTCCAATATCAGCGGCAACACCAAGACCAACGGCAGATCCAACGCCAGACTCGAGACTGGGTCCAATATCAGTGCCAATGCCAAGGCCAACGGCAGATCCAGCACCAGATCCAACACCAGATCCAAGATGAGGTCCAATATCGGCACCAATGCCAACTCTGATGGTGGATTCAACACCAGATCCAACACCAGATCCAAAATGAGGTCCAATATCAGTGCCAGCTCCAAGTCCAACGGTAGATCCAACACCGGACTCAAGACGAGGTCCAATATTGGCACCAACACCGAGTCCAATGCCAGATGCAACACTTGATCCAACAACACTAGATCCAAAACGAGGTCCAATTTCAGCACCAACACCAAGGCCAACAGTAGATCCGACACCAGATCCAAAACGAGGTCCAATATTGGCTCCAATGCCAGCTCCAATGCCAAGCTCAATGCCGGATCCAATGCCAGACTCGAGACCAGGTCCAATACTGGTGCTGACGCCGAGCCCCACGCCAAGTCCACCACTGGATGCAACACTGGACTCAAGACGAGGTCCAATATTGGTGCCGATACCGAGTCCGACAGTAGATCCATCGCCAGATCCAAGACGAGGTCCAATGTTGGAACCACCACTAAGTCCAGTGGCAGATCCAACACCAGATCCAACACCAGGTCCAAGACCAGGTCCGATATCAGCTCCGATGCCAAATCCAATGCCAGATCCAAATCGAGGTCCAGTGTTGGCTCCAACACCAAGTCCAATGCTAGATCCGAGGCCAGGTCCAATGTCAGCTTCAACACCAAGTCCAACGCCAGATCCAGCACCGGCTCCGAGACTGGGTCCAATATCAGCTCCAACGCCAAGTCCAACACTGGATCCAACTCCAGATCCAATGCCAGGTCCAAGACCAGATCCAAGACTGGGTCCGATACCAGTGCCAATGCCAAGTCCAATGCCGGATCCGATGCTGGCCCCAAGATCACGGCCAATATCAGCTCCGATGCCGGTGCCAAGACCAGGGCCAACGTTGGCCCCAACGCCAAGTCCAATGTCAGCTCTCAGGTCAGGGCAAATATCGGCTCCAACGCCGAGTCCGACACCCGCTCTGAGACTAGGTGTGATATCAGCTCCAACACCAGCTCTGAGACCTGGGCCAATGTCGGCTTCAGCACTGAGACCAGCTCCCATACTGGCTCCGGTGCTGAGACTGGGTCCAACGCCAGAGCCGAGAGCAGGACCGACGTCAGCGCCGACGCCGAGGCCGACGTCAACTCCGATGGTGGCTCCGACGCCAAGGCCAATGTTGGGACCAATGCTGGGGCTGATGTTGACTCCGTTGGTTCCAACGCTGGCTCCGATGTTGGGTCCAATGTTGACTCCAACGTTGGCTCCAACATTGGCTCCAACGTTGGCTCCGATGTTGACTCCAACGTTGACTCCAACGTTGGGTCCAACGTTGGCTCCGATGTTGGGTCCAATGTTGACTCCAACGTTGGCTCCAACATTAGCTCCAACGTTGGCTCCGATGTTGACTCCAACGTTGACTCCAACGCCGGCTCCAATGCTGGCTCCGACACCGAGTTCACCACTGCCCTGCCGGCCACCAGTGCCGGGGAAGTCGAGGCCCGAGAAGTCGAGGTTGGGGCCAAAGGGCGGCTCCGGGGGGCCAAAGGGTGCCGGGGGGCCAGGGGGAGATGGCACAGGGGGAGCCTCAGCTGCCAGCTGCTGCCGCAGGCACCAGGCCTCAGCCTCACTGTGGATGACATAGTGCAGTGTCACCCAGGGGTCTGGCATTGGGGCATCCAGATGCCTGGGTCACCTGGGAGCAGGGGCACCTGGACTCTTGGGTTCTTGCTGGGGTGGGGACATGGGGACGCCTAGGTCCCTGGGGTTGGGGGCACCTAGGTGCCCGAGTCCCAGGGGGGATGGGAGACAGCTGGATGCCTGGGTGAAGGAGCACCCGGACACCTGGGTTCCTGGGGGAGGGGAAACCCAGACACCTGGGTCCCTGGATTGGAGGTAGCTGGCTGCCTGGGTCCCTGGGGGGATGGGAGACATCTGGATGTCTGGGGGAGGTAGCTCCCAGACGCCTGGGTCCCTCACCTGATGACGAAGTTGTGGGCCAGCAGGGGCCCGTCAGGGCCCTCGGGCCGCACCAAGGCGTAGACCCACGTCCAGCCCAGCCCGTCCTTGCGCTGCAGCCGTGCCACCATCTCGGCCCGGGCCTCAGGTGCTGCCCCCGCTGTGGACACATGCACGCATGTGTTCAGCTGGCACACAACACCACTCATGACACGCAACACTGCAACATGCAACATGCAACATGCAACATGTGGGGTGCCACCCGCAACATGCTATAGCTGGGACCTAGGACACACTCAGCTGGGACAGGTCATGGGAACATGAGGATGGGGTGACCCTGGGCAGGGGACACAGGGACGCTTGGGGAGGTGGGGGCCCTTGAGGAAGGCATGGGGACCCCTTTGGGGACATGGTGAATGGAGGGCTGGGGCCTCTTGGGGACAGGGGGACACAGGAGATGCAGGGACTATTGGGGATAAGCGGAGTGAGGCCTCTTGGGGACATGGGGATAGGGGGACACAGGACCTTGAGAACATAGAGACAGGGAGATGTGGGGCCCCTTGGGGACACAGTGCTGGGGACACATGCAGACTCTTGGGGATGGACTGTTTGGGGACATGGGACCCCTTGGGGACATTGGGATGGGAGGGCCACTGGCCCTTGCAGACATGGGAATGGGGAGATGGGGACCCTTGGGGACACGGGGATGGGGGGACACCAGACCCTTGGGGACAGGGAGACATGGGGCCCCTTGAGACACCAGGATGGAGAGATGAGGCCCCTTGGGGACACAGATCCTTGGGGACATGGGGACCGGGGACACGAGGTGGGGACTCACCAAGGCGCAGGTGCTGGGCGGCCACATGCTGCAGGTCATCAGGGTGCAGCAGCCCGTACCACGAGCGGCCCCGCAGCTCCGGTGCCCCGAAGCCCAGGTGGAAGAGGACGCTGCAGGAAACCCACCACACCCGTGGGTGCCTGGCACGTGGCACCCCCGGACGCCTGGGACCCACATGCTTGGGTCCCTCCAAGTAGCCTGGGATCCCTCTCGGTCGTCTGAGACCCTCCATGGATGCCTGGGTCCCTTCCTGGATGCCTGGGTCCCTCCCAAGACACCTGGGATGTCCCTGGATGCCTGGGTCCCCTCTGCATGCCTGAGCCTCTGGGAGCAGAAGGTTGGGGTAGGAGCACTCGGACACCTGGGTCCCTGGCAGGTGGGGGGGCCACCCAGACACCTGAGTCCCTTGGAGCAGGAGCACCAGGTCACCTTATTCCTTGGGGGTGGGAGCACCGGGCCACCTCGGTCCCTGGGGCTGGGGGGGGGCACCTGAATGCCTGGGTCCCTCACCTGTCAGAGGCGTCGAGCAATGCCAGGTCCCTGGCGTGGCAGGTCTCAAAGGAGGCAAGGAGCAGGGAGTCGGCGGTGGGCCGGGGCCGGGGCTCCAGGGGGGCGCAGAAGGCCACGAAGACGGGGCGGGCGGTGGCGCGGGGTCCCGGTGGCGGT